AACAATATATATATATATATATATATGGATTTGATATTCAAATAAAAGAATTATTATAAAAATTATTAATAGAAGAAACTAATAGTCCTCACACTAATCCAACATTTATGGTAAGAAACCATGCTGAGATTAAAAGAGGAAAAGCTAAAATGATCATTAATTATAAAAGATTAAATCAAAATATTATATTTCATTGCCATTTTATTCTAAGAAAAGATGTGTTTATTAATCAAGCTAAAGAAGTTGAATATTTTTAGTAAATTTGATTGTAAGTCAGGATTTTGGCAAATAATGTTAACTGACGAGTTAAAACTATTGGCAACCTTTAGTGCACCCAGTGTACAATATCAATGGAAGATAATTCATTTTGGATTATGTAATGCATTATAAGTATTTTAAATATGGATTGATTCAATTTTTAATAAGTATAAAAAGTTTTGTGTAGTTTAAATAGATGTTATTTTAGTATTTTCAGAAACACTAGAATTACATAGAAAATGTTTAAATATTATTTCACAATAATTCATAAAACATGGAATTATACTTAGTCCTAAATTTAGAATTAGAAAAAAAAAAACAGAAATAGAATTTTTAGGATTAAAATTATCTTCATATGGTCTTAAACTACAAGATCATACTATAATCAAAATAAAATAATTTCCTAAGAATATTGAAGATAAAAAAACAACTTCAATAATTTTTAGGAATAGTTAATTTTGGAATAATTTTTTTTCTAAAATTATCTGAAAAATAGATATGTTATACAATAAATTAAAAAATGATGTACCTTTTCCTGGACTAAACAAGATTTATAAATAGTTAGAAAATTGAAATCTTAAATAACATATGTTCCAAAAGTTTATCTACCTATACAATGTCATAAATTAATATTAGAAACATATGCTTCAAAAAAAACATTAGGGAATGGATAATCAAGAATTAATATATGAATATGCATCAGACAAATTTAAACCAAATGAAATAATTATGTAATTTTTGAAAAAGAATTGTTAGCCATTAAAAATGGTATACACAAATTTCTTATCTATTTAACACCTGAGAAATTTCTAATAAAAACTGATAACCAAGCAATTAAACAATTTATCACCAATAAAAAATTGGAGACAATACCAAGAAGAATTAGATAATATAATGAATTATGTACATTTAATTTTAAAATTTTATATATTAAGGGTACTAACAATGTTATTGTTGATTTTCTTAGCAAGTCTTATGGATGGAGTAAAAAAGCCTCCAGAAACTGTAAGAGAAGGGACAACCGTTCGGAAAAAAACCTAACGAAGAGATTTCGAGACAACAAAACCCTAACAAAGGATTTGTACCAGTACAACATCTGATAATGTATTATCCTAAGCAAGGATATTATGTTTTCTATCCGAAATGAGTTGTATAACAATTTTCGATGACACCTTCAGTATGCCAATTGCAGTGGTCACAATATCCAAATTCAGTATATCAAGAAAGTTATGTTGAAGTTATAAAAAATGTTGAATCATTGTTGAAACAACAACAGTCAGAAACCAAAAAAAGAAGAAATAAAAGAATCTTATAATCCTATTTTAGAAACAAAAATATATAATTTGATTAATGAGATATGAAAAAACCATATCACTAATGAAAGAACAAATTTTAGAAGAGCTCTTTCTATACTTTCTGAAACTTTAGTTAAAGAAACAACTAAAGAAAATAAGGTTGAAGAATTATTACTAAACACCATAATCTATAGAGATTGGGAAGAATTAGAAATAGAGTTTTTGAAAGATGATGAGATAAACAATCTTCTTGAAACATGTCAATATTTTCTTGATAAAGAACAAGAAAATCCTATTTTAGTAAAATTATATAGATAATATGTATATAATAAAGCTAGAATAATATTATCAAGAGAAATATTTTTTAAAATAGATAGAGCAATTTGCAACCAACAAGCTCTATTCAAAAATGTTTTTTTCAGAATATTTCCTACAAGCTTATGTCTATACAAATATTATTGGAGAAAAAATTTCAGTAATTAAATTTAGATTGGATCATGAATCGTTTGATATAAAAAGTATTGAATGGGGTTTTGTTAGAAAAATAATTGTACAAAACTTTTCTTTTCATCATTTGAAAGATTTTTTAACCTTTATAAAATCTAAGTTATATACATATATTCCTCAAGATTATCATTATTATTATTTTCATCTTAATATAAATAGTTTAATTTAGATAGCTGAAAAAGAAAAATTCTATCAGCGATATCAAATTTGAACTTTCACTAAGGTACATGGAGGACCAAAACTTTGTGTAGTAAATGAATACAAAAACAACTTACAGTCATCTATTGAAAAGTGTTATAATAATATAATCTACTATCAAATCCAAGCAGGACACGATCTAAAAGCAGAAGCAATAAATATATTGAATGATAATACCAAACAATGTTGGACCGATGACCGAAGAATATTTGTACATCAAAACTATAAGGGCAACACAACAGACATTGAAGCCATAAAGTTATTACAAAAAATAATTGACATGGAAATTGAGGACTACCCAAACAATATAATCGAAGGAATAAACAATTCATGAGACAATTGAAACTCACTACCATTGTCACCGCAATCTTTACATTTGGACGAAATCGAGACCATGAATTTAGACAACATGCTAGAAGGATAAAAATTGTCAAAGTCTTAAAGAGAATGAAGACAATAATAAATAAAAGTACTAGATGTGGAAGCCACCTCAAGGAGAAAAGTACAAGACGTGGAAGTCACCATAAGAAGACAAAAATAAAAGCACCAACACGTGGAATACTACCAAGGCAGACTTCAAAATAAATTGGAAGTAGCTTGGTAATGGAATCTATAAAAGGAGAGGCAAGGGAGAACCTGGATTATCACCTTTTGTATCACCTTTAGCATCACCTTTTCCACTACTACTCTCATGCCCAGCTTAGTTCTCTTAGGTTTTTCTTTGTAATCTTTCGTTCTCTTTCTTTTGTATCACCATCCTTGTAAAATACTTGTGTAAAATCGTTTCTGCACCCTTATCCCCTATAACTAGTATCAGAAAAACAATGTACAATGTCTAATTACTAATTTGTGTAAAAACCATTCATTCATATAATCGAATATAAAATCATTTATATAAAACCAAATTTGGACAGTTCATACGTAAAAATATTCACATGATATGAAATAAAATACCGAATAAAATAATTTGAGTTATTCAAACCAAAATCATATAAAAATCATTTAGTAAATCAGTATAAAGATATTTTATAAAATAATTCAAATTGTTTTCAATCGAAAACCTTCGAGGTTGGCTCATCGCAAGCTATCCTCATATCGAATATAAAATATGTAAATTGCACTCACCTGGTGCCTCACCAGCTTATCCTACGATCACTTTATAACCCTCGTATCCGATTCATTTCGATTTCGATTATAATCACGAACTACTCGATCATCGATTTTCAACATATAAACAATTCACATACATTAGTATATTCATTTATAGTAGTACAACTGATTGTTAGATATTCTGCTAAATCTTTAATAACAAAATTATTGGTTTGAATTCTTAAACATAAACATTCTTCAATTAATGGACTAGTTATGGAAATAAAATAGTTTGGTTTAACTTTAAATCCAATAACTCCCATGTGTAAATTAGATTGAATACCACCTGTAAGTGCTTTTATGTGGTTTTCAAATCTTTTATCTAATATTGGTACATCTTGACCATTCCTAAATAAAGCTCTTATGGTTATCATAATTATTCCTAAATGAATATACTTAACTTGTGAATATTTATGCCTAATTCTTTTAGTTTTTTAATAAACAGTGGGATTTCGGTTAATTATCTTTTTATGTCTTTGGCTACGCAAATGGAGATGGGTTCACCACAAGTGATTAATTAAAAATAGTGGTGGCAACATAATTAACGTGGCAGAAGCAAATTAAGATGGCAAAGGATAAGGTGTAAAATCTAAGTTTTACTACGGCAAGTAATGTTTTGGTGTCAAAAAGCTAAGATCACAAACTTGATAAGGTGGTATCAACGGCGGATTTAAAAAATTGTTTTAGGATAGATACACCTATATTAATAATATAATAAAAATTTTAGGATGCATATCATAGAGGTTTAAGGTGGACACACATACATTAATATGAACGTGGATCCGCCACTGGGAAGCACTCGGTAATGGCAGCATATTGACACGGGGCTAGAGTGTAGGCTAGCTGGTCCGTGCGGCCCTTAGTCGCTTTGCTCGGTTGTTGGGCGCTAAGGCAGCCTTCAAGCTTAAGCTTGGTTGCTTAAGTTGTTGTAAACGTAAGAAAAAGAATATGGACGGAAATAAGAGGGGACGAGAGTATTTGGCTTGGAAGCCGGGTTAATCTTATTTCCAAATAGAAAAAGAATGAATGAGTACAATGGGGTGGGGAGGCCCCTTTTTATAGCGAGAATCCCCTACAAGCTTGATGGCTAAGTCTACTTCTACTCTAACTAAAAGTACTTCCCTATTTAAGTTAAAACTCTAAATGATGTGTCCTTCTTGAGCAAGGATTGTGGCTTAGTCCCTTTTCTTAGAGGGGGCCGAATTTAGCTTGGGGAGGGCCCGAATCAGGTGGTGTTCGGCCTTATCCCATTATGCCACGGGCTTGGCATGTTTTGTGGCGATCTTGGTTCGTGGCTTGATGCGTTTGGACTTCGGAGTGCCTTGGTGCGTGCCAATGCGGGCTGGATGGTGTTGGACTCGGCTTCAAGGTTGCGGTCCGTGACAATATCAACACGTAAAGGCAGCAGCTTACAAAATAATTAATTAAGAATGAATACTTAGGCGGTTAATATACCCTTTTATATATATGTTTGTAGTTTAGTATTTGGGCGAATGATACGAATGAGTGAGAGAAAAAATAAGAGGGAGAGTTGGTAAATTCGAGAGTTTGAGAAAGTTTAGCAAAGCTTTGTTTATGATATTTGTAAATTAGCCCAAGTTAGTATCGAAGTTATGTCGTTGTATTATATTTTGTTCGTATTAATAATAATTTGAGTTATTAAATATATCGAGTGTCTACTAACACTTTTAACAGATAATTAATGTGAAGCAGAGCAATGACAAAGGCCATATCTACTCTCGAGTTTATCTTTATATTTTGACAAAAGACTTTTTTGATCCTTCCATGACTTTCAAACTCCGGAAATGCTTTCATAAAGCCTTCAACAATATGAACAGGAAACAGAAAAGGAAGCCTTCAACAACTTTGCTTTCTCTTTGAACCATTCGTGAATCATACAAAGACAAAGAAGATTGAAACCGTTAAAGATCAGGTATACAAAAATTGCGTTGAATTTTACAGCGTTTTGAGGAATCATTGGGAATTTGAGTATAATTTCATAACATGATTGATTGCACTATAATTGTGGCATGAAGGTGAAAGTACCCGATAGGTCCCTTTATTACAAGGACATGTTCAAATTAATCCTTTTATCATTAAATAGATAGTTTGATTATTCTATTATAAAAATCGATTCAAATTAATGTACTTATTATTAAATGAATCAATTTAATATCTACACTAATGAAAATTATCAAGGAAGATCGAGTTTTAGCATATTTAATATGTTGAGTGCAAGGTCGAGCTATCAAAAGGAAGGGAGTGCTACACCTCAGCAGGCAACACCTAAGCAAAACAATGTGGATCCTGGAGCAGCAGCAACAAACGACCAAGGAAGGCGCAAGAGCATGAGGGAGAGAAGGGTGCCTCGAGTCTCGAGTCCGAATAACTATATCTGTGTGCGTATCAATTTTCAATTATCAATTAACCAAGGAAATTCTAGACATATATTATGTTATAATAACTCTAGACTATTCATAAAAAGTATTCACAATTTAAAAATATTTTTTAATAGTGTCGAAACGATTTTTCCCTCAAAAGGTAAGAAGGTGAGATTTTAAAAACCACATTAATTTTTAATTTATCTCTTTCAATTGATTTTTAATTTAAAAATAAATGCGATTTAAAAAACCTCTCGTTTCGAAAAATTTTAGATTTCTTTTAGGATAAAAAAAACGGTTTGAAGAGTCGCCACCAATCCTTGATTAGGGTGTGATTGGGCACCCAAAAATGTTTGTTATTTTAAATAAAAAATAATTTTAATTAAAACAACAAATTAAGGTCTGCGTTACCAAAATCCGAGTTCGGAAGTCAGTTACGTGTGGGGAAGGATTAGCACCCCCACAACACCCTAAAACGGTACCTAGTCGATTAATTAATGTCTTTGTAATGAACTTTACAAATTCTAATTTAGTTTGATTTTTGATCCCATAAAACAAAGATGTAAATTTAAAAACATTCAAAAGCACTCAAAATAATTAAATTAAAATTATCAAGTCATTTTAGAAAGATAAAGAATGTTCGATTATTTACAAATATCGAGACCAGATCTTAAAGATATAACAACCTTTTCTCGATATATTTAAATAAACGAACATTTCTTTTTCTCTCGTTCCCAAATTTTCGATTACGAATCAATTTTTTTGTTTCACTTTCGGGATACACTTTTATTTTAAAATCATTAAAAGCGGACCTCAAATCAGTTATGACAGCCCACTTAAAACAATTTTAAATTAAAAATATATTACCCTTAATCCAATTATGAATATGTCGAGTTATGCAAGTGAGGCTATCATGCATATTATGTAAAATAATGTCATGTAAAAACTAATTAAATAATATCCTATATTCAAATGAACACCTAGGTTTAAAATAAAGTATGGTGATATGATATATACATGCATACAACGACATTGGCATACATTAGAATAAAACAATATATACAATAAAACATACTATTTGTAACTCGATTTCATATTCAAAATTACCATGAAGGACTAGAATAAAATACAATTAAACTAAGCATGCAAAATGATACCTAAATTTTAAAAAAAATTAATATTTTACTTTAGGACTAAAATATAACATGCGTAAAAGTACAAGTCAAAAGCATAAACAAGCATAAACTAAACACATTACCAGTGAGGATGAAATTAAATTCGGGTAAAATATGGAGACAAAATCAGAATTATGAAAACAACGATTCAAGGACTAAAATAAATTCAATTAAAACTAAGAGACAATATTAAAATAATAATAAAGCTCGAAAATGCCTGATTTTGGGGACCTAAATGGAATGCGCGCAGAATACCGGGTCAGAAATAGAAACTAGGAAAGCATCAGCTGAAACGACGGCGTTTTAACTAATTCTAAAATAAAATCTAACCTAAAGACGATCCTAATATGCCTTTCCCTAATCAACACACGAGCATGGTGAATCGACTTGGCCATCCCAGACTTGAACACTAGTGTTTGCAAGCGGCGCTCAAGGAAATTCTCAATAGTCAAAGCCAAGACATAATCAAGCTTGTTTTGGCTCTCATCCAAAAGTACATACCTATTCATCCTCCGAAGAAGGGCTTCACCTTCAAAAATACGGTTCTCCACCTCTCTTGGACACACACAACACTACTCTCAGCAACCCTCTCCATCTCTTGGCCAAAGCTTCTAGATCAAGCCCTATGAAGCCGACAACCAACCACCGGGCCTCGGTGGTTATCTCATCTTCCTCTCAACGCTTAAACAATGGTCTCAATGACCCGTAAGACCTCCCTTCCCTTTCTATTTATTTTAGTTTTGTTAAACTAAATCTTGCCTTTTTTCCTTGACAATGGAACCACACAAAGAGCAAATGGAATCAACAAGACCCCATTTATGTTAAAGCAGTCTAAGTAAGTCCCAATCCCTCCCTAATCGTAGTTTTAAATAACAATCGCATACAAAAAAAATGAAAAAATGCTAACTGGGAAATAAAGAACTGAGAGAGAATTCCTCGAAAAACATGTACCTCTATTGCCTTCTCTATTTTTGAATTGTGAAATTACACCACTGTTCCTTTTCGTATCCTTTTTACACTGTGAAATTGCAAAAGATAATAAAGTTTTCTGTTCCTAGTCTCTTTTTGTTTTTTCGTTGGTTTTTTTTTGTCTTTGGCTCCTCTTTCGTTTTGTGCTCTGTGCCACCGTGATGGTGTTTCCCTCTCTGTAATTTGTGACGATAGTGTTCTCTATTTTCAGTGGTTCCTTGCCCATAAAAAAAACTGACCCCCTTTCTCTTTAACTATTCCCAAAAACTGCTCTTCAAGTCGTGCCCCCCACTTACAAACTGTTTTCTTCAGTTTTTACTCTCTTTTTCCATAATCGTTTGCCTCATTTCTTCTTACGTGGCTCCAAAAAAAAATCTGACTTGGTTATTCACTGGGTATTATAAACTGTTATACTTATTTTAGTCCTGCAATCCACTTTCAATCTTGTATTGGACCTAGGACAAAAACGAGCATCTACAACTGCCCCTCTTTGCTCATTGTCATATAACAAGAATAGAGCAAAGATCAAAAGATGATCGAGTTTGTCCAGTCCTGAGAACTTTAAAAGATTAAAGATCTCTACTGTTACTTCGGGATAAATGAAACTTGAAAAATCTTCAAATGGCGGGTCCGCTCCCTATTCTTTCAAGGAGTATAAGACTTGAACAATCTTCAGAAAATGCGTCTGCTCCCTATTCATTCAGGGAGTATAAGACTCGAATAATCTTCAATAAACGGGTCCGCTCCCTATTCATCCAGGGAGTATAGAACTCGAACAATCTTCATAAAACGGGTACGCTCTCTATTCCTTCAGAGAGTATAGAACTCGAACAATCTTCAATAAACGGGTCTGCTCCCTATTTATTTAGGGAGTATAGAACTCGAACAATCTTCAACAAACGGGTCCACTCCCTATTCATTCAGGGAGTATAGAACTCGAACAATCTTCATAAAACGGGTCCGCTCTCTATTTCTTGAGAGAGTATAGAACTCGAAGAATCTTCATAAAACGAGTCCGCTCTCTATTCCTTCAGAGAGTATAGAACTCGAACAATCTTCATAAAACGAGTCCGCTCTCTATTCCTTTAGAGAGTATAGAACTCGAACAATCTTCATAAAACGAGTTTGCTTCACTAATCTTCCGTGAAGGCTTACAGATGGTTTGCTTCACTACTCTTCCGTGAAGGCTTAAGATTGACCTGTTTCAAAGGTCCAACCTAAAAATCAAACATTATCAATCATTAATTTATGTTTGAAAATATTATATTTAGAATTTGATAAAATTTCTGAAAATCCATCTCCATCGCGAAAACTTGTCTGGAAACCATTGGATACATGAATCTACTTTGGCTCAGTTTTCGTATAAACATCATTCTTTTCAAAATCTCCAAACCAGTTATGTTCATCTCGATGCTTCAATATCTTCAACTATCCCTGGGAAACCTGTAACTGCTTAAGTCATCATGCAATTATGAATGTTATGATCCTAATCATGCCTAAAATGTATGCAATTATACAATTCAATGTGTTTTCTTCTTCGAAGGAACTCTATCTCCTTTTGATCTCGATAGAACTCGGTTTCATCTTGGGTACATAACATTTAACCAATTCACCCCAGTTAACAATCTCAATTTCGTATCTCTCGGCTTAACAGAACCTTGACTCTTTCCTTTCTTGAAACCCGCCAGTACCCATGACCAACTTCTTGACCAATGACAATCTCTTTGGGTCTTCTTATCATGGCTGAGATTTTCTATGAATTCCAAGGTTTTAGCTTCCCGTAGCCACACAAGCTTACATGTTTAAACCATTGTCAACTTCAGAATACCTGCATTTTCCAAAACCTTTTGCACAATAATACAAAGTGATCTCATATACTTCAAGTTAAGCTATATGTTTTAACTTTTCAAAATAAGATGCTTACAAAAGGGAAATGAACAAGGAAAGACATCTCTTTATTTATATAAATACAGAGAATTTTTAGGTAATTTCATGGCAAACTTTTAACTGGAAACAGTAAAAGAATAAAAGAGTAGGCGTCTTCAAATATCAATAATGCAAATGCTTTTGAACTGGCACGTCGTTAGAATGTCTCGAGTGTAGCTTCTGTCAAAAAGATCTCCAAAATTGTGATGCTTAAGATTATGAAGCTACTTCTAAACTCCCAAATCTCTATCATTGGATGCCCTAAACCAGTATTGAATCTCATGTGCATTCAATTTCTCTTGGTTATTTCAATCGAGACTCATTAATCTTTAGTCTTATCCCTGATCACCAACTGTCATTGTCCGGAGCTCTTTCCATTTCCAAAATCAATTCAGAACCTTCCACCGTGCACGAATTCTGAATTTCAAACTCAACTCAAGTCGCCCTTTGCGGGTTTTCAACTTGAGACCTCCTTTGGTTTCAAGACGCCCTTTTCGGGTTTTCATCTTGAACCCTCCTTTTATTTCTATTTTTTTTCTTTCTTTCATTTTTTATTTTTCATTTTTCATTTTTCATTTTTCATTTTTCATTTTTCAGTTTTCAGTTTTCATTTTTTTCTTTTTTTCATTATTTTTCCTTTTTTATTTCTCTTTTTTTTTTCTTTTTTCATTTCTTTTCAGGCGAAATATCTCTTAACAGCGTCAGAATTCACTAGATATGGTAATTCTGATCCGTCCATTTCAGTTAGGACTAGAGCTCCCCCAGAAAAGGCTTTCTTAACAACATAAGGTCCTTCCCAATTGGGCATCCATTTTCCTCTGAAATCCTTCTGAATAGGCAAAATCCTTTTAAGCACCAAATCTCCCTCATGGAATTCTCGAAGGCGAACTTTCTTACCATGTGCCTGTATCATACGTTTTTGGTACATCTGACCATGAAAAATAGCTTTCAATCTCTTTTTTTCAATCAGATTCAATTGGTCATATCTAGCCTGTACCCATTTTGTCTCATTGAGCTTTACCTCTGACAAAATCCAAAGTGAGGGAATTTCCACCTCAATAGGTAAGACAGCTTCCATCCCATAAACCAAAGAAAATGGAGTTGCTCCAGTTGAAGTCCGTACTGAAGTTCGATAAGCAAAAAGAGCAAAGGGAAACTTCTCATGCCAATCTTTATAGGTCACAGTCATCTTCTCTATGAGCCTTTTGATGTTCTTATTAGCCGCCTCTATTGCCCCATTCATCTTTGGGCGATAAGTGGTGGAATTATGATGTTTTATTTTGATCTGCTTACAGACCGAGTCCATCATCTTATTGTTTAAATTCAACGCATTATCGGAGATAATCCTCTCTGGTAAACCATATCTACAAATGATCTCCTTCTTTAAGGATTTGCATATTGTAGACTGGTTAACATTTACGTAAGAAGCTGCTTCTACCCACTTGGTGAAGTAATCTATGGCTACCAAAATGAAGCGATGACCATTTGAAGCTTTGGGCGAAATTTGTCCAATAACATCCATACCCCACATTGAGAATGACCACGACGCTGTCATTACATGCAACGGGTGAGGAGGAGTATGTATCTTATCTCCATAAATCTAACATTTGTGACCTTTTCGGGCATAATTGATACAATATGTTTCCATAGTTGACCAATAATACCCAAATCTCATAATTTGCCTGGCCATAGCATGCCCATTAGCATGTGTACCACATATTCTCTCATGCACTTTTTCAAGAATCAACTTGGCTTCTTTCGTGTCCACACACCTTAACAAGACCTGATCCAGACTTTTCTTGTATAAAGTCTCACCATCAAGCACATACCCTGATGCCATTCTTATAATGGTTATTTTATCATTCTCAGTGGCCTGTTCTGGATAACTCTGATACCTTATATATTGCAAGATATCATAATAGCAGGGGTTTCCATCTTCTTCTTCTTCAATATTAAAACAATGGGCTGAATACTCATAAGCTTTCATTTCAATGGGCATCATATTTGAATGCTCGTTCATCTTAAATGCCGCTGCCAGTTTGGCTAAGGCATCTGCCATTTGATTCTCTTCTCTGGGGAGGTAATTGAAAGTTACTTCTTCAAATTATTCAACAAGTTCCATAACCAACTTACGATATTCTACAAGCTTAGGATCTTTTGTCTCCCATTCTCCCCTGAGTTGGTAAATTACCAAAGCTGAATCTCCATATACTTTAAGCATTTTTACTTTGCGATCAATGGCAGCTCTAAGACCCAGAACACAAGCTTCATACTCGGCCATATTGTTTGTACAATCAAAATTAAGCCGACTGGTGAAAGGACAATGCTCTCCTTCTGGGGAGACCAAAATTGCCTCGATTCCATGTCCCAAGGCATTTGAAGCACCATCGAAGTTCAACTTCCAATATTTACTAGTGGATGCCACTGCTTCTTCTACCGAAATAGCCATTAAATCTTCATCTGGGAAATCAAAGCTCAATGACTCATATTCTTTCGAAGCCCTTCTTGCAATGAATTCCGCTATATCACTTCCTTTAATTGCCGTCTGGTTTATATACTGGATGTCAAATTCGGACAATAGGATCTGCCAACGAGCTAATCTTCCAGATAATGCAGGCACACCCATTAGATATTTCAAGGGATCAAGCTTGGATATAAGCCAAGTAGTATGATACAACATATATTGTCTAAGCCTTCGGGTAGCCCATACTAAAGCGCAACACAACTTTTCAATGGGTGAGTATCTTGTCTCACATTCAGTGAACTTCTTGCTGAGATAATAAATAGATCTTTCTTTCTTCTCGGTTTGGTCACGTTACCCTAGCACACACCCTATTGAATTTTCATAAACCGATAAATACATAATCAAGGGTTTGCCTGAAATGGGTGGCGCTAAAATTGGAGTGCTCGAAAAATATCTTTTCACTGCTTCAAAAGCTCTTTGACAATCCTCACTCCATTCCCCTGAGTTATTCTTGCGAAGAAGGCGAAATATGGGATCACACTTTTCCGTCAGCTATGAAATAAACCGAGCTATATAATTCAATCTCCCCAAAAATCCTCTGACTTCTTTTTGTGTTCGTGGGGCTGGCAAGTCTTGAATAGCTTTTACTTTATCTGGGTCTATTTCAATTCCTTTTTGGCTTACTATGAATCCCAACAGCTTCCCAGATGTCACCCCAAAAGTACATTTATTTGGGTTGAGTTTTAGCTGGCATCTTCTTAGTCTTTTAAAGAGTTTTCTCAAATTCCCAATATGTTCTTCCTCTGTCTTAGCTTTGACAATCATATCATCGACATAAACTTCTATTTCTTTATGCATCATATCGTGAAATAACGTCACCATGGCCCTTTGATATGTTGCCCCGGCGTTCTTCAATCCAAACAGCATTACTTTATAACAAAATGTTCCCCACATGGTAACGAATGTCGTTTTTTCCATATCTTCAGGGTTCATCTTAATTTGATTGTAGCCAGAGAAACCATCCATAAAAGAGAACAAAGAATTTCCAGCAGTATTATCCACTAGCGTGTCTATATGTGCTAAAGGAAAATTATCTTTTGGACTAGCTCGGTTGAGATCTCTGTAGTCAACACACATT